CCTGTTTCTTTTTCCCTACAGAGAAACTGAGCTTCCATTGCCCTCAGTTATTTGCAGGGTTGTTGTGAGCCTGTACAAGATCATAACAATCACACTAAGCTTCCTATGTTTTCTAGGAATCTGGAAACACCACTGGGAAAACAAAGCTGTCTCTATCATTGAGCCTGGCTTAATTTTGCATTTTGCTGTATGTTTTAGCAAGCTCTGCTATAAGGAACTTTTAAAAGTTAAACAGCTCTCTAGCTGTGGCAGCCCTTCATCAGAGCTTCCTACCAGTAAGAGGAAGACCCCATTCCTTTTCCTACAGAGGTGGTGTCAGCAGTGTAAAAAAGAGATATATTATGCACTGGGCCATTTCTCCTCCAGAGCCTATGCGATCCGTAATTGGAAGGAGAGTGGTCACTATTCAATAGATGATGTAATGTGTATTCAGTGTACAGACCATATGTTATCTTCAGAACACTTCCTCCAATTCAGGCAGCTCCACAGGTAGGAGACCTGGTGCCAAATTAGCTGTTGTCATCTCCTCATGGCTTAGTCCAACTCAGAAGGAAATAAATATTTACATCTTAGCTGAATCCTTTCAGCTTCCTTCACTTTAAGACATATGGATTTGTGGCCGTGAGGGGGGACTAGACATTGTGTTAAGCACTAGATTATGCTAATGAATTCATGTTTTATATCTGCATAAGAATTAATATTGATAAGCATATGTTTATGAGTTTCATATTCAGCAGACCCTTTCAGGCATATACCTATGTGCCAGTGCTTTGAAAAATCTAGCATCTAGCAGTTGACACAAGCATCATAGAAACTGTAAATTGACTTGATTTGATTTTAATTTAGGGGAAAGAATGAGATGTAAAAAGTGTTCTACTAAAGTCACTTACAGCCTGTATTATTCTGCTATGCTGTGTGTGAAGTTCTTTAATTTGCATAACAGACATGAAGAGGAATGGAGAGTGGCTGAGCAGGGAGAGAAAAAACTCTGAAGAGGAATGTGAAACACATTTTGCTTTACTCTGAACCTGTAAAATACTGTGAGTTTAAATTGTTCAGTGGTTTAAACAACCAACAGAGAATCCTGCTATCCGAGTTACTAAATGACCTTGCCTTCAGGTGGAATTAGAGTGCATAATCAGTCAAACACTTATTCAAATGAGAGGTTCAGTGAAAGGAAATTCCCCGTCAGACCTGTCCATCAGAAATTAAGTTACCTGTTTTATTTGCATTAGAACATAAACTGCAGCTTAGAATTAAGGGCTGCATATTGTCCTTCCAGCAGAGATGTGGTTGTTCCCTGCACAAGAGAAACAGTCTTACTCCTAACAGTTTTTGTGCCTTTGGTAATTCAGCTTTCTTTGTGTGTCTTGGTCCTTGGCCAAGATATCTTGCTTTTTGAGATTCAATATTAACTTCTCAAAAAAAAAAAAAAAAAAAATTCTGCTTCATTTTTATTTAAGAGCAAACAATGAAGTCCCATTGGAGGCTATGACTCTCTGGAACATGTTCATAGAATCATAGACAAACATGTTCATGTTTGTCTTAGAAGACTCAGAGTCTCACTGCTCAGCTGGAGGAGTTTTCTTGTGATAGATTATCTCTGACGATATTTAGTAAGCAGCTCACATACAACAAATAAAGGCCAGCAATGTGTAAGACTTACTGCTTCTGGCAGTTTCATATTACAATAGGCTGTGAGCAGTTCCATTTTGCCACTTTTGCCTTAGCCTCTGAGGTCTATGCTCCAAGAAAAAATATAGGAATACCCTTTCTGAGCTTGTGCCTGTCATGAAGATTATCCGTCTCCCTTTCAACATCTCATAAGAGATGTTTTGAGTGGCTGATATAAGTGATACTTGATCCTTTGGTGATGGAAGAGAGATCTTATTTACTGGGTTCTTGTGTTCTGGCATGGTGCTAACTGGAGTTTAGTGTGATGTGGCCTGCACTCTATAAATGTTACTAGTGCCATTGTAGCTACATTGCCAGTTTCAGGGTCAATGCCTACATGACTAGTGCTCAGTAGTGTACACGGCATCTGGGCCCCAGTCATGTCCAACAAACATGTTTGCCACACATCTTAATGTCCTTTTCCCCAAACCCTTCTCAAACTCTGGAGGGGCTCTTTTGTTGCCCTTAAGTGCAGGCTGTAAAATCTCTGCAGAGGCATGATGCTTTTCAGAAGGCCTGTAGTTGGTAAGTCAAGCTCTCAAAGGGCCCCTGGGAATGAGTGCTGGCATTGCTTATTCAGCCCTTCTGCATGCACTGTGTGACTGTTTTCACTCACAACAAATATTGTAGGCAACCTTGAGTATCCTTTGAAAATCTGTTGGTAGACATCCTCTTTCTTTATGCTTGCGCAGAGCTGCTCTGCTTCCAGCTCTGCAGTGTCACTGTAGGACTGGGCTGAAGGCAGAAAACAGATTTGTTTTACATATGACATGAGGAACGGTGTCTGTGCAAGATCTGGCACAGAAAAGCCTCTCTGCTTTTTGCTTTAGGCTTGCAGCTCTCCTACACATAGGCCTCTCAGGTGCTGTATCTTCTAGCCAGCTCTGATACAGCAGAGAAGGATGAGAGAACACAGCAAATCAAAGACTGACTGAGAATGCGTGGTGCTTCCAGGCTGTTTAATGCAGCTCAGGCTGACCATCACACCAGGAGAACGAATAGCTGCTAGGCTTACGAGTTTGGCATACTACAGCACAGAGAGCTCCAGAAAAAAAGAGGGAAATGGAGGAAGAAAGGCTGAATTTTCACCAAAACCTAGGTGATACTAAAATCTGCAAAACTTCATCACACCCTTAGAAGGTCCTAAGAAGCCAGATTCTGCTAATACTTTGCTGTTATTGTAAAATAACTCCTGGAGCAACTGAGACAAATTTATTGGAGAGGATATTCAAAGGCTTCAGTGAAAATCTAAGAAATCAAAGTCCTAAGGACCTTTACATTCATGTCTGCCCTACTGACCTCACCTCTCAGTTTCTCCATACAAATCTGCCTGTATAGCATCCTGTGGGGTCCCAGTCTGTGACTTCTGATGGCCATACTGCTTTTTCTGTTACAGAGAAGGGTATGTGGTTAGATCCGTCCAAATGGTACAGTTCTTATATAGAAACAAGCTCATATTATGTGGGCTTACATGAACTGATTGTTGCAAGAAACATATTTGGCCTTATGGCTGATGACTCTTACAAGAGGCAATGAAACTGCTTCTGCTATTTAATTTGCAGTCCCCTGGTATGTGTATTATTCCCAGTACAGTACAAATGAGTGCATCCAACTCTTGTTGTTTTTCTAACCAAGATACTGTGTTTCTTTCATTGATAGAAGAAGATGCTGAACCACAGAATGGTAAGAGTGTTCCCAAGGAAGTTTCAGTATTCAGGGACTGTAGCAATAGGACAAGGGGTGATGGGTTTAAACTAAAACAAGGGAAGTTTAGGTTAGATATAACAAAGAACTTGCCTGTGAGGGTGCTGAGGTGCTGGGGCAGGGTGCCCAGAGAAGCTGTGGCTGCTCCATTCCTGGCAGTCTTCAGGACCAGGCTGGACAGAGCCTTGGGTGACATGGTCTAGTGTGAGGTGTCCCTGCCCATGCCTGGGGGTTAGAACTGAGTGATCTTAAGGTCTTTTCCAACCCAGACAAGTCTATGATTCTGTGATTCTCTGTCCTTGCTCTCTTCTTCCACTTACTTCCCTGTAGCCACTGTCAGACACAAGGCACTGGGCTGGATAATCTTTGACCTGACCCAGTATAACCACTCTTTTTATATGCACAGGTGATAATTGAAGCATTTAGCAGGGTTCTAAATGCGTGTGTGGGACCTTCAGAAGGGACTGAAGAAGGATCTATCAGAGGCTGGATCCCTAACCTTCCCTTAAAGTTAAGGGTGTCTAAAGGGCTGTTCTCCCCTGGGGGTTCCTGTCTGCAGGAGTTCAGGGTGACCATGTGCTTACCTTAAACACTTTTGTTACTTTTGCTGCCTAAAATTAGGTAAGGCAAAGCTTGCTTTAGCCCTTACTTGTCTTCCCTGAATGGCTGTAAGTCATGCTGAGGACTAGCCTTGGCTTCAAGAACCGTGATGAAAGGGTTGTACAAAGTTACCTTTGTCCCCTCTTTGGGCAGCATGGTCTAGGGTGAGGCATCTGCACCCATGGCAGGAAGGTTGGAACTAGATGAACTTAATGTCATTTCGAGCTCAAACCATTCTGTGATTCTTGCCATGCAGCACCAATTACAGCAAAGTCCAGAAGCTGGGCTGCTGGCATGCTGCAACATTTAACTGTTGGAAAATTTATTCATACGAAAATCTTCCCATTCTCATAGACAAAGGATTCCCCCTCGCCCGCCCCCCCCCCCCCCAATTTTGTCAAAATCCTTTTCTCATCTGTTATTGGGGCAAAACAACCTCCTAGCCAGGGTGTTTCATTCATGGATAAAGCTTTCATTGGAACTTGTTGTAAAGAAGCTAAGGGTTGGGGCCAGATTTTGCTCCCAGTGAAATCAGCAACAAAACTCCCATTGATTTCCCCGTGAGCTGTATTGAGCCTCTCCTCACAATGGGGAAATTTTTAGAGGAGTTACGGTGGTTGTGGACAAGGTCTTGTTGCTTTGTGCTTTCAAAAGAGGACTGTTTCTGATGGAGGAACAATCAGAATAATTGTCTCTTTAAATGAATGGTTCTCAGAGCCTGCACTGAGAGGCAGGCTCCCTCTCTGCGGCTGTGAGGCTAGTCGGAGCCTCCAGTAAATCAGCATGCAGGAGCTGAGATCTCTGTCCTTGAAGAGATGCATAGTGACCTTGCTTGTGCTTACTCTGAAGGAATAACCCGCGGAAACACGGCAGCCCAAATAGTGAGCGGTGTAGGACTAAAGGCAGTGCATTCTGCATATAAATGCTACAGTACCGAAGGGATGGCACGAACAGCACGCTGCTACACAAACTGCAGCTTTCCTGCTAGCCTGACCAGATTGCTGCTTTTGTTTCTTTTGCAGGAAGACTGAACGAAATCCTCATGATCGTTACATGCCTGTTCAATAATAGCACACCCCAGTCACGTCTCCTTGCGAGCACATTTTGTTGGAATCACTGAGCAGAAGCAAAGAAGAGCTGACGACTATGTGCTTCCAACGCAGGTTGCCGGAGCCCTGTGCTTGCCATTGGCTGTAGTTCCCTGGTTTATTTGCAGCTTCCCCCATCTGGAATTTGAAAATGGGATTGAAGTAGATAATTGCTAGCAGCGGGTTTTCAAGAGAGGCTTAGAGGGAACAGAATGCCTCTTGCACAGCACAGGCTGCTTGTGCTGAAAGAGCACTGAGAGACGATTTCAGATTTTACCCACATCTGAATCTCCTGGAAACTTTACCATGGAAGCAAGCCATTACGCACAGTCCTGAAGTAAACATCCAAAGGGGCAAGGAAGGGGCATCGGGGCTAAACAATGGGACACCTCGTCCTTGTATTGCTCACAGAAAAGCCAGGAAGCATTCCTCTCCGCTTCCCAGCAAAAAGGGCATGAAGGTGACAATGAACTGAATTTTCCCCAGTAACACTTCAGTGGCTTTTAAGGATGGGATACTCTGACCCTTCGTCAAGCAGGGATTTGCTGGGAAACAGAACTTTGTTCTTCATATTCATCTGCGCCTTTGCCGTGGTCACCTTGCTGCAGCAGATCCTCTATGGGAGAAACTATCTCAAAAGGTAAGGGGGGGATTTTATGGAATAGGAAAAGTTGTCTGACTGGACTGAGCTGAGATAGAGATCCAGCAGCACTATTATAACAGTTCAGATCACTTCTGGGTGTTGTGCTGACAATATCTTGTCACTGCATCAGGCATCTGTAATGTCTGTTAGATTATTAATGAAGTAAAATGATGGGGAGAATATAGTGATTTCTGTGTTTCTTAGATTGTGTTTGAACCCTCAGCTGTTGTAAAAGTCCAGGTTTTACTTAACTTAAACTAGATTGACTTGCACCACCTGAGTGTTTGCCCCTGATCAGACCCTGACACAGAGGCTTTTCACCCTATATAAGTTTAGGCTGAAATGGCTTGAGAGGTTAAGGTAGCCTGCTCATTGCCTGAACTTTCATGTCTGTAGAAACAAACGTGGATGTGATTCCTAAAATCAAAGTGGTGATATTAATGTTCCAGGTAACAGTGGGAGCACTTTATTTTTCACTGCTGTGTTCTCATGAATTACTGCTGAGACTGCCTTGCTGTAAAGCACATCGGTCTTTGATCTAAAAGTGATGCTGCTGTTTTTACAGCAAACACCGGTGGGGATCTTCAAGTGTTTAACCTTGACCCATGCAGAGTGTATTTTACTTAAATCTAGTCTGAGTTGTTACGGCTTGTACAGTTTTATAAAAGCGAATGTTTCTTTCACATGCTTTGAGGTAAGTGGGTTTCAGTAGCGTAGGCAGCTGCTGTGGAATTTTTTACTGGATTTTAGCTGCTTTTTATGCCAGGAGAGATCAATGGTTTGATTCTCGCTTGGGTTTCAACTGATGCACTTGTTTGCCTTGTGCCAGGAGCAAGCAAAATGCTGACAAATCAGCAAATGTTTCTTGCTGGGAGGGAACAGCAAGCATAATATTAATATGTATAGACAGGAGTGTTGTAGTTATCCACAAAACAATTTGTGTGCCTTGCATAGAAGTGAAGCCTTGGCTGGGGGACGCTTTTTTTGGGCACCTCACTTGCAGAAAGGTGTGACTCAGTTGGAAGGAACAAGAATGAACAGAAGTGTAGAAAACTTGTTTGTTTGGCTCAGAGAAAACTGAGGGGGGATATAATTGTCTTGAAATACCCAAACTATTTCTATGAAGAAGAAGATATTAAACCCATCTCTGTAAAGACTCACCACATGATAAGAAGCCATGGACTTAAGTTGCAGCAGGAAGGAATCTAACCATGAATGGAAACTTCTAAAGAAAATGGCTACCCAGGAGTTACAAAATCTTCATCTTTGGGGGCGTCAGGAACCTGTTAGGTAGATAATACTGATCTTCCTGGGTGTTGAGACAATGACTTTATGACCAGTTGCCTTATTTTCTCAGTTTTTTCCATTTGACCTGGAGGTCTTGCAGCCCTATCAACACTTGCTTTTCTAAGTCAAAATGACTGCAGCAGGATTGGAGTAGTGACAAAGTATAGACTGAAATGAAAAATGGAAAAGGTAAAATTATGAGAAGATGCAACTAAAACTATTCCAGTGGGTGACCTCTGTGGCCGGTCTCTGTCCTGCCTCATGCCCTGGGAGCCTCTCCTGTTGTCAGTGGGCTGCAGGAAATGAAGAAAGGGTGATGTCCAGTTCCCAGTCTGATTCTGAGCACTCTGCCATCAAGAGTGCTCGAGCAGGGAGATGTGCATACATTTTGTCACTTTGAATGGAAAACACTATTTATTTAATTGTATTTAATTTTATTTTGATTCCAGCTTATAATTGTTTCTTTTCCTCTTTTTTTATCAGATGAAAGAGTCTTAAAGAGGTTTCCCACCCCGCTCAGTGCAGGGAAAAAAGCACTTTATCTCCTTTCTTCTTCGAAGTGGTAGTTCTCATCTTTCATGGAAATAAAAATGCAGGATGTGGCAGTCTTGGGTTGTCAGTTATTAATGACAGAAAGGAGATTTACACAGCAGCCTACATCATTACCATAATATTATCACAAAGGTACTTTTCTGCTTTCTCTTTCCCTCTCTCAATCTCATGCCCTGCAGTACATGATGGTGACCATTCCCGGGCAGTTTGATTGCCAGTCTACTCCATGCAGAGGTAGCTGTAACCTTTGAATTACTCTTTCCTTTCACAAACCTCCGGTGTTAAGTCCCCTGCTAGAAGCTGATGCCAGTTGTGACGTTCCTTGGACACATTATAGCTTGTACCTCCAGGGGCCACAGTAGAGCTGGTGGTTTTGGAGAGCATTCTTGCAGAGGGGAAGTGGGATATTTATAGCTTTGGTGCCTCTGGCCAAGCTGGAGCGTGGGGACGTTGCCTAAACCTAAAGCTATTTACTCACTAGAATTCAACATGCTGCCGGTTTTATGATACCCTTTGCTTATATCCCGACATCTGCAATGATAACAGGCCTCTTCCCAAGGCAGTGGGAAGAAATTCCCCAGTATATTTAGAGAAACATGAAAATTGTCCAGCCTAACACAGGGATAGCTTGTTTCTCTGCAAGAACATGATGGAAATGGTTAAAGGCCAGCAAAGCAGTGGGAATATGACCTAAAACAAGCAGTGGACAGTATAGACTAGGGAATGGTCCCAGTAAACTGTGTGGACAAAGCCACCCTTTTCTCGGAGAAAGATGGAAAAATTAACACTACATAGGTGTAAGCTGTGCTATGACACTTGTCCTTGCAAGCGTGGAACTGCCTGGTTTTATTGATATAAAAACCCACCTGAAGCTCCCCATGGAGGATGCCATGGAGGCTTGTGGTCCTGTGTTTGCCATGCTCCCAAACCTGGCTGTGGGGGTGGCAGGACTGCAGACAGGAGAGGGATGCTGCAAGACATAAACTCTGCTCCGTGAAAACTGATAAGGGGCCCAGCCTCTTCTCAAGTCTTCTCTTTCCCCTTAATGAGCTATTAATGAGTTCTTGGCATTGCTGGAAGGAGAACGTAGGGATTGAATTTCTGAGTATTCACATATTTTTCACCCTCCATATAATGTTCTCTGCTCCTTCCCCTGCTGTTTGGTACTATGCCATTAGAAGCAGAATCTTTCCCATGTTTTTTTCCCCTTTTTCAGTTGTCCCCCAAGTGGGATGGATGTGGATGCTCTCAGCAAGGCCAGTGCCTTATCACTGTATCCTAATGAGAGAGTTAAATTACAAGCTGGAGAGTGGCATTGGAAAGCTCTGGTCTCTGTAGCCCCTGATCCTGAGTAAAAAGGATGGTGAAATGAGATATAATTAAGGGACTTTAATACGGATCTCTGGGGTAATTATTTTTATTTTAGGATTAATGTGATGATTAAAAATCCGCTGCATTGATCTGCTAAAGTAGGTTAAATGCTGTGGACTTCTGCTTAAATCCAGAGCTGCCGCTTGCTTTTGTATTGACTCATCTTTCCAATGCTCAGCTTTCAGCTGAATTTCCTTTTGAATCAGATGCTCAGCTGAGGGCTTGCTGGCCTTTTTTTTTGTGGGCTCATATTTGGCCAGCAGGGAGTAATCCTGGATTACATCAGGAAAATGCCTCTACAGTAAAAAATGTTGAAAGGGTCCATATCTTCATCTCCCAACCTGTAGCATAGGAGATATCAATAGGACAGTCCTTTGACTGCTTTGGCAGGGGAAAAGTATCAGAGCAATACTTCGTTATATACTGATATTCTATTGGTGGGAAATTCACTGAATGCTGTTTTTTTTAACAGCCTAACTTCTGCACAGGGTGAGAGTCAGCTGAAGAAGGGAATCTGCCTGTTCAAAACTGCTTTTCTTTTTTTTCCCAGCCAAGTGAGGAGAACACATTTTCAAAGCTATTAAAGACTTTAAACAGAGATTACCCTAAGGTCTGTCAAAGGGGGCATGTACAATAACTCAAAGAATCACACAGGAAGAAACAGCAAGCCTTCCTATGCAGGCAGCCTGCGTTAGTTAAAAGCCTTACATCTTTTAAATGAGAATAAAACATCTCTCTTATGCGTGTGTACCCTGTAATTAATATCAGCTGCTCATAACTTGAGGTTATACCGCCATTTTGGTATTTCTGGAGCAGATTTTTTTCAACAGTTTTAAATCAATCCTCAGACATCTTTACCCTTTTCCTTACCCACGCAAGAAAGATAGCTTTTTTTTTCTTTTTCTTTTGCACAGAGTAGGAAAGTAAAGAATAAACCCACAGAAAATAAACCTGGGCTGTGACTTGAGAGATCATTTATTCTGTGCCATGCTGTAAGGCACGATCATGTGACAGCAGTAGCTGCAGTGTGGACATGGAGGCTGCATGTGGTCTAAGTTGTATTTTGTCCTGAGCTGGGCTCTTGAGGAACTACAGCCATATCTTGCCCCATACCTGGTGTGTGTTCCTCTGACCTGTTCATAACACCCTGTGAAGATGCTAACCATGTCCTAAGACGATCTATTCCAGTGTTTAAAGTCTCTTTCCATTAAAGCATCTTTCCCAGGCAGCGTAAGCTGAAGGTGACATTGTGAGTCATCTCTCAACATACAGCTCTGTGACCCTTTCCATGTCTCACCAGAGTGAAATATTATCCCAGCAAAATACCATGATACCCGTGAGTCACTTCTATGAATCCCTGATGGGGCTGCAGAGCAGGTCTTGGTTTTGGTTGGTTTTCTTTAGAGGAAAAGAGCGCTGGAAACTTCAGGAGACAGTAAATCCTTGAGGCTGTATACACCAATATGTATATCTGTTGGATATGGTCATCACCATAAAGTGACTGGAGAAGCTGAGATTCCAGCCATGCTTTTCTTACTACAGGGTATTCCCAAGAGCATTTCAAGGGGATGGGGCACAGGGTGCTGGCATCCCCATCCTGCGTAACTGACCTTGCCAAGACCAGGAACTGAATCAGCTTTCTGAGAGATATGAGGAGCACTGGAGGCCGTGCTTGGGGAGAGCTCAGAGGAGAGGCAGCAATGGGATGAAGAGGGCAGAATGAACAGGGAGCTGATAGATTAACTCAGCTGTCTGCAAAGTCATCCCCTCTAGTCATCCCCTTTCCT